GGGGATTCTTATTGAAGCCTGTCTGTGGTAACCAATCAAAGAGTTGTGTGATACAGCTGTCTCCAGGGCTGTGCCTTTAGATACACAGCATTCTGAGACAAAAATGATATTCAGGTAATAGCAACTAAAGCTGACTCTGTCTCTCACAGGCTTATTATTGAGTGGCCTTAATATTTCCACCATGCAGGAACTGAACTACTGATTGTATAAAGTGACAGAGTCCTGTGACACCTTATAGACTAACAGACGTATTGGAGCATAAGCTTTCATGGGTGAATACCCACTTCGTCAGACGCAGTGGCGCATGTAGTCTACATGCGTCTGACAAAGTGGGTATTCACCCACGAAAGCTTATGCTCCAATACGTCTGTTAGTCTATAAGGTGCCACAGGACTCTTAGTCTGGATCTGTAAAAAGCGACAAACACGGCTACCCCTCTGATACGGATTGTATGTTTTTCTATATAAACTGCACCTGAGGCGTTAACAACAAAACCTGTAAAATACAAATGTTACACCCCACCTCTTACCCTGTCTCCATTTCAGAATGTGCATTTGTGTTTATTTCCTAGCTGACTGAAAGTGCATAGGTAACAGGGTGTTTTGACTGCATGGTGCCAATTCTTCCAACTTCTCTGCATGAAACTCCTATTGATTTCTATCTGAATTTCATATTTGGAGTAGTTACAAGATCAGACTCATTCTTTGTCAACTCTCGAATTTATTCCATGTCCAAACTTATTTTCTTGGTACTGTTGTGTGGTTCTGTTGCTCTCTTGTGTGTGTGTGTTCTTGAAATCAAGACTGTTATGCGGTTTTGGTAGCACTTACGGAACATAATGTGTATACAGTCAAATCTTCCTCCAGTTCATTAATGCTGTGGATAATATCTGTCTTCTCATTTGGTATCCTAATGTATTTTGTCTTTCTATGTCTGTTTTCTAAACTTTAAACTCTCTGGGGCTGGGACCATCTTGATATCTGCACAGCACTGGACATGTTGTCTGTGCATAACAAAAACAAAGTTAACAAGTCTTGTAACCTGAATATGACAACCGTGCTTGATTTACTTTTCCAAAATGGTAGATACGCTCTGCCTGATCTGGCCAAGGCCAGAGGAGATGTCATCAATTATTTAGATACTTTGCCTTAAATATTTACAAAATAGATATCCTTTTGAAATATTTTAATATAGCTATATCTACAAACGCTGCCCTTGAAGTCATACACACATGCATACCAGAAGGAGCTATAGACTGATGCTGTGGATAATGTAGGACCTGGGAATTCAGTTCCCATTGAAATTATTAAAAACATTTTCTCAAAGTTGTAAGTTTTGGGGGGGAGGGGTGTGGCTAGTGTCTCTTGAAAAGGGATATATAGGTTTGGATGGTACAATGACAGTGAATTGCATAGAGAAGTTTTATGGCCTCTCCTGATGCAGTTGTAAAGCTCTGTGTAGTCCTTTAAAGAAGCTTGATTTCTACATCTTGCACTGCTCAAAAGTAGCTTGTCTGTGACTTGGTTTGAAGGCATAAGACCAGATGGTTCTACCCTTCTGTGGAGCAGAATACCCTTGGATATTCCTTTTGATTTTAATTAGATTATTTAAGGTGTGAAGGGTATTGCTCATTGTGAGCAATCGGGCCTAAACATTGCTATTATCAATTGTTTGCTTAAAAATGGCATCTTTGGAGCTCACTGGGGATACCTAAATGGTTGAATGCACAAATGCTTATGTCAGTTATAGGAACACTTCAGTTTGTCAGTTTCAGAAATTCACACTCTATTCTCCATTCTACGAACTTTAACAATCTGAAGAACTATACATCATTTTAAATAAGGCCCTTAAACAAAGTCCTCCACTTCTATTTGACAGCTTTGGAACCACATCTTTCATACTGATTAGTAGAAGATATTTCTACTATGTAGTAACCCACAGCTGAGACAAATTGATAATTCAGTGAAGAAAACTAGAAGAGCTAGGTTTTTAAATTAAAACTGTAAACAGTATAAGGTGCTAGCTCTTTTAAAAAAAAAAAAAAAAAAATCCTCAAATATATTTTAGGGTAGATAACATTTGAATATAGTTGGGGGCACAAAGTTTTAATTTGGAATTTTACCGTTGTTTGGGTACAAAGCTGGTGTTCATGGCACCATATGATTAAAAGGGCTCTTTTTCTCTCTATGCCAGTATACTGAGGAGGTTGCTTTACAAAAGCAACATTAAAATTCCAAGTGTTGCCCTGTTGGATTAAAAATGCTTATCATGATGAAACATTTTAAAGAGAAACTTCAACTTGTTTTTTGAACTTGATTTGATTTCATGTTAAAAGTAGTTTGAGGGACTTCATCTATATGAGTCCTTCTGATAACTCTTTAGTTTTACAATCACTTTTTCCTATTCCTAAACATGTTTTTCTCTCCTCCATTGCTGTTTGAAAGACCCACACAAATAAAGAAACAGAGCTATTGCTGTCAAATACATAAGAAATATTTCTGTAAATAGACTGTCTCACTAAAATGATTGAGTGCTCTGCAGTTTCAGAATTGAAGTCTTGTGGTATAGATTCTTATATTTTAAAAAAACCTGCATAGCAAGAAGCATATATGAATGGCTAAACGACCCTTCGAGAAAACAGCAGCTTTGAGAGTAAAGTGCGCCCGAGCAAAAATGTATGTATTCAAACCCGATGACCTGCATTTTTTAATTTTGGTGAAACACAAGACTGAAACTGCATGTGCCAAATGTCTGCTCAAAAGAAAGATATTTGAGTTACAGTCCCCTGAAAAATAGATTTATCACAGAGGTGCCTTCTGTGATTTAACCATAGCAGGGGTGGGCAAACTACCGCCCGCGAGCTGCACTGTACAGCTCAGCCCCGCTCTGGCCGGGGCGCTGGGTCGGTGGCCGCACCCTGCGGCTCCCGGAAGCCGCGGCATGGCCCTGCACTGGCTCCTACGCGCTCCAATGGGAGCTGCAGGGGCGGTGCCTGCAGATGGGGCAGCTTGCAGAGCTGCCTGGCTATGCCTCCGCGTGGGAGCCGGAGAAGGGACATGCCACTGCTTCCGGGAGCCGCTTGAGGTAAGTGCGCTTGGAGCCTCTCCCCACACCCCTGCCCCAGCCCTGATCCCACCCCCGGTTTCCAAACCCCTCGATCCCAGCCCAGAGCACCCTCCTGCACCCCAAACCTCTCATCCCCAGCCTCACCCCAAAGCCCACACCCCCAGCCGGAACCTGCATCCCTTCCAGCACCCCTGCCCCAGCCCTGATTCCTTTCCTGCCCTCCAAACCCCTTGGTCCCAGCCCAGAACACTCTACTACACCCCAGACTCCTCAACCCCAGCCCCATCCCAGAGTCCGCACCCCAACCCCAATTTTGTGAGCAGTCATGGCCCGCCGTACAATTTATATTCCCCGATTTGGCCCTCAGGCCAAAAAGTTTGCCCACTCCTAAACTATAGAGTACACTGGTAATTCTGCAGAGAAAATTAAGACTAGTTAGGAAACTATTTAGCTCCTCATACTGGTATCAGATCCACATGGGCAGACCTCTGCCTCATTGAAGTTAGTGGTGCACTTTGCTGGTCTGCACTGTTGGATCAAAATGCAGAATTATGGTCTTCATTCTCAATTGAAAGGACAACCTAGTGATTTTCTGAGTGCCTCTTGAGTGCCCAGTGTCCGCCTGTCCCCTGATCGTTGAAGTTCAACACAATAATGCGACACCATCATGCAGGTGTCTCAGGTTTTTAACCCCATATTGTGACTCCAGCTTAAATAAAGAGAGTTCAGAACAATTATGCTTTAAAGCTGGGATGAAGCATAGTTATAATGCCACCTCAAACAGTACAGTATTTTGCAGTACTCATTTGAAAAACTATTAAACGTTTCTCTTTAAAACATCTTCAAGTAGCCTTTGTCATCTTTTTCACAAGGAGCAGTAAATAATATACTGTGGTTAACCGGGATACAGGCAACTCTTTTTTTAAAAAGCTAAAGTTTTATTTTTAGGAAAAAGAAGAAGTTTGTGTTTAAAATTTCATAAATGAGAATCTCATCAGATCGTTCTGTGTTTCTCTCTTTTCAGGTGACACTGCGAACACATGAATGGCAGGAGAAGACTGTTAACTGCCTCTGTAATTTCTGTCCAGAACTCCAGCTTTGTGTATCCTTCTTGTCAAAACTGCTTTTCTAAGCTGATAGTAGATTCTAATAGGTAGGTCCAGGTTGGGGCATTGCTAATTGTTCATTTGGAAAGCACCTAGCATACTTTAGGTGCTATATACATAAGTGGCCTGTAAAAAGTTGTTTTAAAACTATTATGTTAGTGCCTGGGAACTCTAGTCATGGACCAGGATCCGATTGTTCTTGGCCCCATACAAAAACAGTCCTTGCCCCAAAGAGTTTACAAATGTAATTATAAGATGACACAGTAGGTGAGACAAAAGACAGAAGGGGAGCACAATGAGAAAATTCTCATGATCGTCAATGACAGTGGTCTCAGCACAATAACAGCTTAACTGTTGTCAAGTTTTTTGTATGCATTATGGCAATGAACAGTTTTGGGGGGATTTGAAAGAGGCAGAATATGGGGCACTGAGCACGTAATACGTTTACTTTTCCATACGTTCCTTGAAGTCTAGATTCACTAGTTCCTGCTTTCTTATGCCAGTAGGAACTGTGGGCTCAGTCATGCATCTATAGACACTTTCTCCTAGATGTCTTAACTTCAGTTTAACATGACTAAAACTGAGCTGATTTCTTGAACTTCATGAACCCTTTTGACTGTCCTCATTCTGTGACTGTAGACAACCCCATCCTTCCTCTCATAACATGGGGTCCTCCTGTGTGGTTTCTCCTCCTCACCATATATCCAGACAGTGCCCAAATTTTGCCCTTTCCTACTCCACAGCATTTGGCAGTCACACAGTGCCATTGTTCTGTAAAATCAAGAAACTCCCACAAATGTGTGGAATATCCAGACTGATGTGCTGTCAAACCCTGGACACTGAGACTCCAAAACACATGAAAACAATGAATTCCGTAAATGCTAAATCAAGACATCCAGCTTTATGAAGCTCGATATCTCCATAGTGTCAGATATTGAAAAGAAGATAGATGTTGGAGGTTTCTAATGTCTGAGGGGGTTTTGTTATCTCTTTTTGATTTATCCAAAGCTCTAGGTACTAGAGTAAATAAAATACAAAATACAAAAACTGCTGTGCTAGGAGTTTCAAAATGAAGTCAGTCATCCCTCAACCCCCCCAAAAACAACATTAAAGTAACCCCAACCCCCCCCCCCCATAGCGTATATTAGGCTTATGTTATCTAAATGTGTAAAAGAGCTTCACTGAAGTTCATGGGGCTTTGCATGATCACAGGAATCTGCTTTTGTTGAGCTAATTGCAGGATTGGGGCCATAAAGAACAAAGAAAAAGAAAAAACCTCTAAATTTCTGATTTGGTACAAGGTGTATGATGCTGGTAGTATTTATTGATGGATAGAAATTCTTACTACACCATCAATTAACAATGTGTGCTCATTTTTCTTACTGTCTTACCAGGTTTAACTGTCTAAAATGTGGCTGCACGGGTGAAGCTAAGGATGCAAACTACAGGTATAAGCTGTCCCTAAAAGTTGCTGGCACTAGTGATTTATTTGACATTACCGTGTTTGGAAGCTCTTTAGAGCCATTCTTTGGGGTCACAGCAGGAAGTCTGCAGAGGTAAAGGATGACTTTCTTTTTTTTTTAATTATATAGCTGCCTCCCCAACCTCAGCCTAGCAGAATGTGGAGAGGGGTGCGTGGGGATAGAGGGGGTATGGCTACATTCATGGCTCTAAATATTTTCTTAGAACTGTTTGCCAACTTGGTATCTGAGCGGTATTTCTCAGTAAGCTATTAAAAAATAGATCTGGGTAGATGGTGATTTATTTGTAAAGGAGAACTCAGGAAAATATCCACTTGTTACAAGCATTTATTTGGCACCTATCACCATATTATCTGGACACTTTAAAAGACTTAAGTTAAGACATTAAAGATCTTCCGAAGAGACCAAATCCCATGAATCCTACTGCCTGCAACTTAATCCATCTACTAGGAAACCAGGTGTTAACATTTGAGAAGATCTTGTCAAAGAGGTGCACCTCACAATTTCACTAACAGTTTATTGGTATGACAGCTGTACAAGTGTTGCCAAAGTGTAGGAGAGAGACCTGAAGAATCTCTATCAAAGGTAGGTATTATCTGCCCTTTGTGAGGTTCACGTTGCGTTTGGAGTTTGGACCCTTACGTCCCTTTGTCATTAGTTATCATTCCTGGACTGATGGCAAGTTGCTAAATAACATAGCTTTCTTCAGATTTAGACACACTTTTCTGCATCATTTAGATGCCTCATTGGGGGCATATCTCTCTTGCACTACCTTGTGTTTTGGACATGGAGGTAGAAAATGTCTTGTAGCTCTTCACTGAAGTGGCCAGGTTTGCATTTAGCAAGGAGTGAATTCCCAGGCTTGCTACTGAGAACTCAACCACCAGCCCTACAAGCTTCACCCTTTGGCCATAAAAAATCCTGACTACAAAAATCTTATAGTGGGATTTTACTTCAATGAGAATTTTATGCATGTGATCAGTAGGCGCAGAGTTGGACCTAAGCCAAGCATTTCTGAAAACACCACCTTAATAGCTTCCGTAGGTAGGGAATACGTTCCCACCCATCTGATTTGTATTATCCTTTGCTAACTCTCTAATAATATACTTACAGCTTGTTCATCAGCTTCAAGACCATCATGTGACCTCTCCCTCTCTCAAATTTCACACACAAGTTGTGGTGGCTAGACAAAGCAGGTTGCTTTGTCTTACATTCTGAATGGTTAGGAAAATATTCTTGCTTTTTATCCCAGTCTGGCACCTGTTACTCCTGGGGGAATTGTGCACTACTGTGTGTACGCATAATTAACAAGCCCCACAGATTTCTAATTTTTTGCGCAGAAAAAAGGTTCTGCCAAAATGTTGCTGCCGTTCCACCTTTTGCCCACGAGAGGGCGCTGTGGCGCAAGAACAGCAGCAGCTCCCAGCAGAAAATAACTTCTGCAATTCCACCTTTTGCCCGCCAGATAGTGCTGTGGTGATAGAACAAAGCTACAGCTCATGGCCAGCAAGGGAAGAGAGAGAGCTGCCTTCTTCGCAGAGTTTGTCAGGCCAGGTCAGGGAACGGGCTATGGGAAGACAGACAGCATGGGGTGCTGGGGGGGAGTCAGACGGGCTCATAAGGGCTAGAGGGGGAGGACAGACTGGGGCAGGGGCTGAATGGGAGTGGAGGCACAGGGCCATAGCGGGGAGGGAGGTGTAGGCACACATGGGGACAGGGGAGTGGCTGGGTGAGGGCGCACAGACACATGGGGGCGGGGCAGATGTGCCTGATTGAATGGGAGAGGCTAGGGGTCAGCCAGGGTCTGCATGGGGGAAGCTCCCTAACAATCCCTCCCCACCCCCCAAAAAAACTGTTCCATACTTTTCCCACCCATATCCAACAACCCTCCAAGTTCACACCCAGGCTTCTTCCCAGCAATTTACTTCCCTCTCCTGCAGCTCTTCCGTTACCTCTGACTCCCCCAAACCTTTGCACTGTTTCTGAGGGGTGTGGGGGAAATGGTTCTGTACTGTAGTTTTAAATGAATTATTACTCAGAGTTCTGTATTAATATGCCTAGTAAGGAATCTATTTGTCAAACATTTCCTGAATCTTTTTTGTTGTCTGTATTGTTACAGACATACTTTCTGACAGATATTTTGAAATAAATGAACAAAAATAATTGAAACTGGTGTGATTATATTAAGGTGTTTTGACAAATAAAATTCAGCATATTTTAAAATATTGTGCGCCGCATTTTTAATTTTTCGGCACAGAATTCCACCAGGAATAACCTGTCCATCAGGCAGGCACCATCATTAAAGTAATATGTGGTACCATCTTCTTACCAACCGACATTCTCATGCTTCAATTCCATGTTTTCTAGTTCCTTTATCAGCAGTAGATGATATGAATAGAGAGTGTATAGTGTCTCAGGGCTTGTCTACGCTCACAGTGCCGCAATGGCACTTATTACGCCAATGGGAGAACTTCTCCCATTGGTGTAGGTCAGGGGTTCTCAAACTGGGGGTTGGGACCCCCAGGGGGTCACAACGTTATTACATGGGGGGGTCGTGAGCTGTCAGCCTCCACCCCCAAATCCCGCTTTGCATCCAGCATTTATAATGGTGTTAAATATGTAAAAAAGTGTTTTTAATGTATAAAGGGGGGGTTGCTCTCAGAGGCTTGTTATGTGAAAGGGGTCACCAGTACAAAAGTTTGAGAACTACTGGCGTAGGTACTCCACCTCCCCGAGAGGCGATGGTTATGTTGACAGGAGAAGCGCTCCCAGCAACATAGCAATGTCTAAACTAGGGGTTAAGTTGGTATAACTATATCACTTAGGGGTGTGGATTTTCCACACCCTGAGCAACATAGTTATACCGACCAGGGCTCAGTCTGTGTGCACACATGCTTCTGTACATTTTTATTACTTTGTAGCAGAAGAATGTATCATTAATACTTTGTTTTTAAAAAAATCCACCCGGTGTGGTGTGAATTTATTGCTATACTTCAAGCTTGGTGCTAGCTTTAATTTTTGGCCTTGTCTACAATAGAACATTGTACTGCTTTTACTATATTGTTATACCTGAAATGGCAGAACTCTCACCCCCTCTTAGTGTGGACAAAGTTATATTGTTATAAGTGTGCTTAATACCAGTATAGCTATTCCCGTACCAGAAGGGGAACAAGTTACTCTGGTATGTCACCTTTATACCAGTATAACTGCATCCACACCGTGGGTGGTACCGGTCTAACTATCAATAAAAACACACCCTTAACAGAAATACTTATACTACTATAAAAATTGTGTACAGGCCAGTCCTAAAGCAAATTATGTAGTTGTCTGATTCTGCTTACTCCATTATTTCCCTACTTGATATTTTTTTTTCCAGTAGTATGTGTGTCCTTACTTCTCTTCTGAATAATCTGGAAATGACAGATAGTTAAGTTGATTCTCTGCAGATCACTGCTCTGTCACTGCTAACTTCCTACTCTGATTTCATCTTTTCATTCTATGTGTAGCTCAAAAACCTAACCCAATACCCCATCTTTAGTGTGGGTGCCCTAGTCATTACAATTTAAATACTACGTAAAGCTTTCTCTGCCCCATGTAAATACTTAACATTTAACTTTCTTCATTCAAGGTATATTAAAGATTTTAACCAAGTATCAGGAGAGCTGGACAGAGATGCATCTCCACGTGTGTTAATTCAAGCAGTCAAAACTTGTTTCATTGGGAGAAGATTTATATTTGGAGTGAAGGTAACTTTCCACATTTGATCCATTAGCTTCCAGTTGAATCATGCAAATGTTACTAAGCAGTCTTGAGAGTCTAATGTATCATGTTCCCACACTGACAGTAACAGAGCAGCGTGTATGATGTCTTCTGGGGACTGAAATATCCAGCAAAGAAGGCAGTGGGGCTAGGCCACAAGATGAGGAATCAGACCTGTGTGCCACTCTCAGTTCTGCTACTAACTTCCCATGTAATTGAGTAAGGCCCAGATCCGCAAAGGTACTTAGCAGCCTAAACCCCAGATTTAGGCATCTACATTAGGCACCACTGCCATCCACAAAACCCCCACTCAGCTGTTATCTGTAGGACCTTAGGCCACTTGGCACCTAAATTTTCAGGGTAAGGTTCCCTTGACACCTAAATTTCTGCCTCTGGCCACATGCATTGTTGCCTCCCTCTAGGCATTCAGATGTCTATCTCTTGCCTAAGCCCCAGTACAATCCACGAACTGGGAGAACTATCTCGCCTGTGGGGTCTGCTCCAATTGGCATGCTCAGAGCAAGCCTACTGAATCGGGCCCCATTCAAAACTTGCCGGGAGGTACCTACCATTGTAACTCTTAGTCTAGTGGCTAGAGCACTCACCCAGGATGTAGGAGACCCAGGTTCAATTCCCTTCCTGCCTAATGGGGAGAGAGGATTTGAACAGAGGTCTCCCACACCTCTCAGGAGAGTGCTCTAACCACTTGGCCATGAGATATATATCTCAGTCTCTCCTGATGAAGCTAGTCCACTTTGAATAAATATTTTAGTCATTGGAGCCAGGAGACTGGACTTGAGGTCTCCCACCTCCCAAATGGGTGCCCTAACCCCTGGACTATAGTGTAACTTTCTCTCTCTCCCTCCAAATGTCTCGTGTGTTTGTTTGGGGTTTTGTTTTGTTTTTTGTTTAATATTCGGACACTGCAAGATGAAAAGTGTTAAACATATTACTATAATTGCTACAGTTTAGCACCTGCACTCACAGACCTTTATGCATTTGAGTGTTAAAGATCTCCACAGATCCGAAGACACTACTAGAAACTGATAGCTCAATAGAAACCTCCGAGGTGTTGGTTATATTTTTATTTTAAACTTTCATTTTAAACATTTTATATCTTTGTAATCTCAGGTTTTGTTAATCTAGACTGAAATGTCTGGACTAAATCCTGAGAGATACTGGTTAGCTCCCACTCCCACAGATGTGATGGGAATTCTATGATCTGTGTATTTCTAGTGCACCTATCTCCCTGGTATCTGAATACTGGAAGTTGGGAGAGCAGCTTTATGTGAGAGTAGCTATTCACTAAGGTTCCAGTTCTCCTGCCCTTATATATGTGAGTACTCTTTATGCACCTGAACAGTCCTTTTGATGGGAATGAGGCTACTCACATTGTAAGGATTACTCAAATGTTTGAGTGTCTGACTGGGTATAGTTGTGTACACCTGTACACAACTATACACGCTCCCAGCTCAAAACACCAGTATTAAACTCTGCAGTGTTAAAACTAAGACTCAAATACAAAGGGATTACCCTAGCCTATAAGTATCTACATGGGGAACAAACATTTAATAATGGACTCTTCAATCTACCAAGCAGCACAAATTCGGACTGGAAATAGGCATGTATTTTTAACAGTGAGGGTAATTAACCATTGGAACAACTTACCAAGAGTCATGGTGGATTCTCCATCACTGACCATCCAAGATTAGATGTTTTTCTAAAATACCTGCTCTAGGAATTATTTTGAGGAAGTTCTCAGACCTGTGCTATTGAGGAGGTCAGACTAGATGATCATAATGGTCCCTTCTGGCCTTGGAATCTGTGAATCATTCTGCAGTCTGTACCTTCCACCAGTACACACTACTTTCTTCTAAACTATATCTCCTCCCTCTCAATTGTGGTCTTAAACACCACACGCAGAGCTGCAGAGTCTGGGTTTTCTGACACAAAGTACTTGCAGGTAGCTATAATTTGGGCAGTTGCTCAGCTGTGGCATTTCCTCTAGACACTACAGGTGTTTTAATCACTCCATGAGCTACATGCTTTATGCCTTTCTTTTTCCAAGAATGCCTCTAAATTTCAACCTGCAGTTTCCATCCAGTGAGTGATAAACGGGGATGCAAATAAAGTTCCAGGTGAGGCGCCTCTGATAATCTGGCCATTCAGCTCCAGCACTATCTAGACCTAACTGAGGGGGTCCAGGTAATATTCCTCTCCCATCCATGCCCCTAGGTATCAGGATGCCCAGCTTTGAACATTGCTCAGTATGTCATAGTTCAAAGGAAGGTATCTGCTGTCTAGTGGCCACCTAGTCAGTTATGCAGTACGTCTCTCCTCACAAGGTGGCCTTCTCTAGTGAAGTAGTTTTTCTTCTGCCCGAGTGTTGTCTTTTCCCCTCAGAATTTCTACTGAGTTTTCACTAAGCACTCTGAAAATTCTTTGTATCATTGCCACAAAGGCTTTCTGGGTGGGATGTCCTTTATAGTCTTCAGTAGCACTCATTTGCTAGGGTGTGCTGCTGTGAGACAGCAGGTTTTTCTCTCTTTCCCAAAGACCCTGATGAAAAGAGAAGATCTTTAAAATGAACTGTGGACTGGACTTGTTTGGACCTTTCTTGCTCTCCGTCCCTGTCATAACTATAAAGGGAAGGGTAACAGCCCTCCTGTGTACAGTACTATAAAATCCCTCCTGGCCAGAGACTCCAAAATCTTTTTACCTGTAAAGGGTTAAGAAGCTCAGGTAACCTGGCTGACATCTGACCCAAAGGACCAATAAGGGGACAAGATACTTTCAAATCTTGGTGGGGGGAAGGCTTTTGTTTGTGCTCTTTGTTTTGGGGGTGGTTCGCTCTTGGGACTGAGAGGGACCAGACATCAATCCAGGCTCTCCAAATCTTTCTGAACAAGTCTCTCATATTTCAAACTTGTAAGTAAACAGCCAGGCAAGGCGTGTTAGTTTTTACCTTTGTTTTCTCAACTTGTAAATGTACCTTTTTGCTAGAGTGTTCATCTCTGTTTGCTGTAACTTGAACCTAAGGCTAGAGGGGATTCCTCTGGGCTCTTTAAGTTTGATTACCCTGTAAAGTTATTTTCCATACTGATTTTACAGAGAGGATTTTTACCTTTTTCTTTAATTAAAAACCTTCTTTTTTAGAATCTGATTGATTTTTCCTTGTTTTTAAGATCCAAGGGGGTTGGATCTTGATCCACCAGGAGTTGGTGGGAGAAAGGAGGGGGATGGCTAATTTCTCCTTGTTTTAAGATCCAAGGGGTTTGGATCTGTATTCACCAGGGAATTGGTGAAGAGTCTCTCAAGGCTACCCAGGGAAGGGAATTAGCACTTTGGGAGTGGTGGCAGCGGACCAGATCTAAGCTGGTAGTAAAGCTTAGAAGTTTTCATGCAGGCCCCCACATTTGTACCCTAAAGTTCAAAGTGGGGAAGCAGCCTTGACAGTCCCCATAAAATTTTCCTCTCTATCCAGGCAAATCATTACACTAATAAACTTAATGAATTCTTTTTGCAGAGTTCTGAAAACCATGATGGAGGGCACTCTGTTTCTGACAGCATTTTGCCAAACTGCTCCAGAATTAATAGACTTACAAGAGATCTTACAGCCTGCCAGATCTTCCTGCCAAACACTGCTGTTGCCGGCTTTACTGTTATCAGCTACTTCCATCGGCTCCTGCAATTTGCTAATTTCAGGAGCAGTCGCAGTAGCTCACAGCGACCCGATTGTCCTTTCATTGCAATAGATCAGCCTAGCAGTGAGCTCAGCAGCTTGTGTAGCTCTGGCAGCAACTCATGTTTTGTTCAGTCAAGTGGCCGAGAGAGTTTTTCAGGACCCTGGCAGCAGTCCTTTGGCCTGACTTCTTCATCTATTGATTGGGTAACAACAGAAGATTTTTCATCTTTAGAACTGGGCAAGGCTGCTGGTGAACAGTGTAAACTACAGGAGAGGGGTTTCTCTGCAGAACTATGCAGCTTAAGTCCCAGCAACCAAACCATTCAAGATTTGCAGCTCTGTAACTCTATGAATGAGAGAAATGAACAGGAAGATAATGAATTTAGTTCACTATCCAGTAGGTCAAACACAATCACTGTGACTGAAAAACTAGAGAGCTTCTCTTCTTTAAAGAGAGAATGGTCACCTGACAGGAACAGCTCCAGGTTGTTACAAAGCCCATTGGATTTGGGGGTAAAATACTCCTGCCTAGAGATTATCAGCAGACATGATTACTTTCAAGAAAAATCTTGGAACTCCTTGCTTTGCCAGAGAAAAGATGATTCATTTTGCTCCTCAGCAGTGTCTCCTAATCATGGAAGTGCAGCTGGAACATCTCAGGATGACCCTATGATTTGGGACGAGCTGCCGTTCTCTGAAAGTCTAAATGATTTCATAGCCAGAATTGAAAACAACAAGAGCACCATATCCCCAGTAGGTCTCAATGCTCATAAATGTTCCCTTCGTGAAAGAAGTGAGTTGGATGAAAATCATAGCAAAACATCTTGTAGGCAAGGCATTGTACATACTGCCTGCAAATCAACCACCACAACAGGGAGGTCCCCACAACTAGCAGAGAATGTGAATACTTGCAAAGAGCATATTCTCTCCTGCCATCAATCAAACCTCACTCCCATAAATGGCCAAGTATCACAATGTGAGCCTTTGTACAGCATTTTATCTACAAGTACTAAGGGAGGCAGAGAGTCTGACTTTATACCTGACCCACCTCTGCTAGCGGGCAGTTTTCTACAATCTGAGAAAGCAAATGTTAATATTTCAAACAATGCCCATTCTTTCACCAGCCTTCAATGTACTATGAAAGATGCAGAAATCTCGTATTTACAAAAGAGAGAGAAACCTGCCCGTTTACATTCTCTGTATGATGGCTGTGTAGCCGATTGGGAAAATAAAGAAAATTGTAGTTATTCACCAAACCTAAGAACAGATCTTACAAGCTCTCAGGAACTGGGCTGTGATTCAGCAGCTCCCTACAAAGCTAAAAATATGTGTAAGAGAGAATTAGAACCATTAACTGAATTGCAAGAAAATACTGTTAGAGCTATAAACCAGAATGACGTGCTACAGAACAACTCCAATCACTCCAAAAGCAGCTACAATGCTTCTGCTGACCTCTTTGATGCTAGTGCCAGAGAGATAGAAATCATGGTCGAATTTTCAAATAAGTCTCACAACTCTTCAGCACAGGAAGATGTTTTGGCTGAAAAGTACACAGCATCTGAATTAGTGTGTAGTCCATTAGATGTTGGCTGCAGCTCTTCTGAGTGCAGATCCTCACTTAGTTTACCACCTCCTTTTGGTAAACACAGTACACCCATAAGTTACTCACTTTATGATTCAGAACTTGATCTGGTAGATACCCAGAACTTTGTTCCTTATTCACAGTCAACTCCTGTTGCAAGACCTCTTCAAAAATTCAGATCCCAGAGGGGGAGAGAATCAGTTCTCCCTAAATTGACATCTAAAAGTCCTACTAAAATCCACTGCAAATGTAAACAGTCTAGGCCTTCTTTTAAAAATACTTTATTAAGACAGCTTACCAGCAAGTTCCTGAAACACAAAAGATCAAGTAACACAGCCATCAATAAGTCTGTTTCACAAGAGTCGTTTATCAACAGTGAGGTGCCAGAGAAGGATTCTAAAGAATGGATCCCTCCATCAGCAACAAAATTGTTACAGCCAGTTGCATTTTCTAATTTAAAAACAGTTGGATTGCAAGCCAGGAGCCCAGCTATCTGCAAACCCATTGACAAAAAAACTATTTCTGAAAACAAAGCCAACAGTGGAAAGTCAAGAACTGATACATGTTTAAGAAGCAGAAAATTAAATCCTATGAATAGAGCTGAAATTCCAACAACTCCTCTACCTGCAAATGCTGCTACGGCCTTGCTTCTAAAAGATGCGGTCACTGGAACTTGTGCCTGCTCAGAAACCCAGAAGAGCCATTCATGTGCAACTTATTTAGTGGGTGGACTGGATGAGGCAGTTAGCTGGTCTCCTGAACTGTTTACAGAAAAATACTATTTCTAAGTATGTGGCTTTTGGAAAAAAGCCTCATCTTGAAACATGACTCTACCTCATTTTGTTTAATTTTTGGAAGAGTGCCAGCATTACCGGAGAAAGAAAAGGGACGTTTTTTAAAAGTTTAATTATTCATATGTCTCTCAGCATCTGTCTCGTTCAAGATGAATTATGCCTAGCTGCAAAGCCTTTTGTCCTGCACCGAGGTTGGGGAACACAGAACCCTGCTGTCACATTATTTTATTGTGGATGAAATGACTAAGCTAAAAAAAGTGAAATAAACGTTTAACATTAATAGGCTATGCAACCTTACTTTTCAAGCCTATTCAAGCAAAGGCCTGTCTAGCCAATAATTGTGTCCTCCCCAGAGAGAGAGCCCTAGGAATGCACCATTCTCCTGCTTTGTTCAAAACACAGGCCCTGGATTCTGCTTTCAGTGAAATCCTTTTGTGGAAGGCTGACTTTGCTGTTTTAGGACCTGTTAGGAAATAAGTCACAGGAGGGAAGAAATTCCATTCTAAAACATTAGGTCCTGTGACTGGAACTAGGCATCAGATGACCTGCATTCAGTTCCATCTCTGCTACCCATTTAGCTTTGTCTTTGAGGGAGGTCATTATGATATTTCTAATGCACCTGTCTTGGCACCAGGAACCATATCCAGTACCCAGTCAGGGGCGTCAGTAGGAGACTTTTCATTATTTCAGGGGCTAGTGGAATGGGCTCCAAGGCATCCACTGTCTCTGAGCCTTAGATTTTTCAATCTGCAAAAGAAAACTCAGCCACTGAGAGCTACTTGAAAGCAGTGTGTAAATGCAGATCTATTCCTGTTCCAAATCTGCCTGAACAGCAGCTTTCCTTTATTTTCAGCATGGAAAGTCCATCTGCCCTCTGGAGCTCTGAAAATCTCTCCCCCATTTCTCCACCCTACCTCATGGCTCCCACGTTGTAGCCACTCATCTCCTACCCAAAGACTTTGAAGCCCCTCGCTGTTTCTCTGTAATTGGCGAGAAGGGTCACTCAGTTAGCAGGAGGTGCTTCCTCCCTCTTAGGAGCTGACCGTATTGGCACTGCAGTGTTTCCGAAAGCCAAAAAAGAAAAGCCATTAGTGGACACATACCAAGGCTCTGTAATATCCCCAAACAAATCCACTTTAAAAAAAACTTTTCAGTTGTGCTCCGGGATGTACAAGGTGAGGACCTCACACCCATTCACAGTCTGATCTTCAGCAGCCCAGGAGGCAGAGCCAGAGTCATTCTCCATCTGTACGTGCAGGTAGTGAGACACAGAGGTTCAGTGACTTGCTGCAAGTCTGTGGTAGACAGACAGACATAGAACCCAGATTGCCTCAGTTCCAGAGCAGAATCTTAACCACCGACAGACCATCTTTCCTCTCGACCTTCTACTACTCACTGTGGCACTCTGACACCGAACAAGAGTTCTTCCCACTTCTGGGGATCCTGCACCACTAGGTGGTGAAGGGAAACCATCTGGGCCACATTGAGGGGCCTACAGGAATGTTCTGCCAGCCCTATCCCATTTGTGGATCCTAGACAGAGGTCTGAGAGGAAGAAAACACATAGGCTCAGCTACACCATAAAGCACAAAATAGAATTTAAAAAAAAACTTAAGTGAACAGAAAAAAAAAATCAAGTTCTTTACCTACTTGAACAGTGCCACCTAAAAACTGGTGATCTTCATCACAGGCTCTGGGCAGCTGGCCCAAGAGTCCAACCAGCTGCCTTGTGAGTAAGCATCTAGTGATTCTCCACACTGCACAAGTGTAATCTCTGCCCCTCATGCTGTATGCACAAGACAGAATTATTCAAAACAGCCAGTGAGTGGAACACACCGATAACATGAGCAGGTACAGAGATGTAAAAGTCATAGATGGTGTGGCCCTGCAGCAGAGAACAGTGCCTTTCCCTGTGGGACAGATGCACCAGTCCAGAGGCCTTGCAGCACTCGGGGCAGGGATGGAAGGGGAAGGGACATGCTGCAGTTGGAGTACCAGAAGGCGGCAGAGTAGTGTGGATGCTTTGTGCTGGTTCAGTCATGCTAGTGCAATTCTCATCTGCAGATGAGGGTGTGATACTGAGTTTTGACTGTCTGCACTTGTGCCCTTGTTGTCTATTCACACTGAGCCGCCTCACACAAGTTTGGCATATTTGATTAAGTCCTATTTGCCAGCTGGCATCTACCCATCATCAGCCACTCAGTGCAGTTGGGTGTGACCATCAGGCTTGGGTGCCTAGAAATACATATTAGCATGGCTATTGTATGTAGAAGATAGACCCACACTTACTGTAAGGCAAGTATCCAGCTGGCACAGAAATAAACAGTTCAGCTTCAGACCTCTCTATTCCAGTTGTAGTGTTCTTACATGATGTTCATTATGGGAAAACATCTACATAAGGATACAATGTCCATGCTAGTTTAGAACAGTAGCCAAAGACCAGGGTCTGCACGAATGGGGAACTGTGATGCAAATATACATTACAGACCAGACCATCCCATTTCACAGCTACAATGCAATTGATGTCAGTAGGGTTTTGCCTCTCTTAATAGAGGAAAATTTGGTCCTTATGTCCTGTAATGTCTTGCTCTGCAGCAGCTGAGCTGTGGAATCCAAAGCCACGGGAGTGTGAGATTTTGCCACATATTGGCACCAAGTCTTAGGAATGGCTAATTGCAACACATCTGCTGGATGGCAGAACTCGCAAGGCAAGGCCTAATCTTCCGTGGCATTTAGCTAAATGTAAACAGGTGAGGGTAACAATGCAGAGCCCAACACCAAAAAGCTTAAATAAATAAATTGCACACCAGTGCAAAGCATAGATAAAGCAAGTACTTGCCCTAAACCCCCACCCTTTGCACTTGCATGCAAGCCATTCATTTATAAAGAAATTCCCTGGCACCTCTTATGTAGAGATCTCAGAGTGTCTCATGTTAATGAATTAAACTGAGAGCCCTTCAGGGAGAGGAGGGGAGGGGAAAGATTGATTGGTTTTACTCTTATGACCCCATCATGATGGTTTCTAGTCCCTGCCTCACTTGGTCCCTTTTTCTTCCTGGGGTGCTCTGCGCACTGCTGAGTTGCTGGCTGTCTCAGCTGGGTTGTGAGGCCTGTCGTAGAAGAGGCTGCCTAAAAACACAATGCTGCTGCCCTGTGCAGCAACTGAATCCTAGCTGCTGGCAGAAGGTTGCACAAGGATTTGTCACCCCCAGTCAGCAGGGAGACACATCCCACTCTCAAAGCATTTGCTACCTCATGCAGCAGGAGCAGCCCTGCTGAAAGGCAACTGTATAGTGGGGGTAAGGAACCCCATTCTGCATGCTGCTGAACCAGCCTGGAGTGCGCCGCACCCCCTGCTCTTACACAGTCCAGTTCTGGTGCCCTTCACACAGCCCTTTTATCATCCATGCAAATATAGAGAGGGGGGCCAAGACTGGCTCTAGCCTCCCTCCTCTTCCTTCTCCCGCCCCTCCTCCCCCCAAGCAGGAGTCACTAAGGCCTGGTCTACAGAATTTCAGAATTAGCCGAGTTAATTTAAAAAAAAAAAAAAAAATTCCGTCCACACGACCAAACTTTTTTTTTTTTTCAATTTAAAGGGCTCTTTAATCCGATTTCTGTACTCCACCTCGGCAAGTGGAGTAGCACTTAAATTGCGATTGCAATCCCGGGTTAAAGGTATTGTGGACGCAATTTGACGTTATTGGCCTCCGGGAGCTATCCCAGAATGCTCCCTTGTGACCGCTCGGGACAACACACTCAACTCCGATGCACTAGCCAGGTGGGCAGGAAAAGCCCTGGGAACTTTTTAATTTCATTTCCTTTTTGGTCACCATCAGCACAGGTGACCATCAGCACAGTCCACCATCACAGGCGACCGTGCAGAGTCCACCATCACAGGAGATCGCACAGTCCCGGATTTGCAGACAAGCTCCAGCATGGTCCGAATGGGAGGTACTGGATCTCATTGCATGTTGGGGAAACGAATCTGTTATGGCAGAACTACGTTCCAAAAAAAGGAACGCAAATATGTACGCTAAAGTCACCAGGGCCATGTCGGAAAGAGGCTACTGCAGGGACATAGAGCAGTGTCGTACAAAAATCAAGGAGCTCAGGCAAGTGTACCAAAAAGCCAGGGAGCCAAATGGGTGTTCTGGGTCATAGCCTCATACATTCCGCTTCTATCGTGAGCTGCATGCAATTAATGGGGGTGATGCCACCACTACCCCACCACTGTCCATGGACACCTGCAAGGGGGGAGTTGCATGGAGCGAGGAGGAAGAGTCATTAGAGGAGGAGGACAGTGCACAGGCGGCAAGTGGGGAATCCATTTTCCCCCCTAGCCAGGAACTATTCTTAATGCTGGAGCCAATAGCCTCCCCCCACTCCCAAGGCGGGCTCCCAGACCATGACCCGGGAGGAGGTACTTCTGGTGAGTGAGAGCCTGATCAGAGCCATGCAGTGGGGGGCATAGGGGAAACCCAGCTGCGCTGGGCTGTTCGGGTTTAGTTTAAAGGGCTCATCCCTGCTCAGACCCTCATTGGAGCCACACGGGGGGGGGGGGGGGGGGGGGGAAGGTGTAGTGTTGTGTGAAGCGATCATCTCAGAGAGCCCGCAGGCCCTCCTTTTATATGGCAAATCCACCAGGCATTGCTTGCTATGGGAAAGGGGGCCCAGAAGTTTGAAAGCATTGAAATGAATGTAGAAGAAGCAGAACCCCGCGTGCCCCTAGGCTGCCTGCAAGCTGAATTCTGTTGCCTGGCCATGTGTGATGGCTTACTCACACCAAAGTGGCAGGCACTTCAGTATAAGAGGCAAAATGCTAACTTGTACAGAAAGAACGTGTGCTGAGTACTATGAGTTTCCTGTTTCACTGAGAAGGAGTGTCCCCTTTCTTCTCTGAAATGTATCTTTTAAAATACTACCCTCCCTTTTTCTTCTCCCGCAGGTGCAAATGTTTCAACGCAGCCCCTATCTACTCTGTCCCAGAGGCTGGGCCAGATTAGAAGGTGGAAAAAACGAACTCGGGACGACATGTTCGCCGAGCTCATGCAGTCCTCCTGCACTGATAGGGCCCAGCTGAATATGTGGAGGCAAACAATTGTGGAGTCCCGTAAAGCATTACAGGAACACGAAGAGAGGAGGGACGTGTGCGATGAGAGCAGGCAGGACGCTATGGTCAAGCTCATGGGGGAGCAAACTGACATGCTCTGCTCTATGCTGGATCTAATGTGGGAAAGGCAGCAAGACCACAGACTGCTGCTGCAGCCCCTGTATAACCGCC